ATTGAGTCCTTCGCAACTCACTATCCACATGATCAGACTCTTGGTCAAGTTCGAAACTCCGATGCCGTTCCAGTTGAGGAGACCTTCACCTATGCCACTCCGCTTTCTCATGGTGATCGCCCGGCTGCTTCGCAAATCGCTTCAGTCCTCTATGGCGACACTCGCAATGCTCAACGTGGTGATCTTTCGTTCCCGTCTTCTGAGCGGTTTAGGGCGGTGTCTCGCTCCCCTCGCCGTGGAGGATATTTTGGTCAACGATAGAGATTTGAGTTTGAGCATGTGATCTTCCTGCAGGAGAAAAGAGAAACCTCGCCCCTCGTAGAGGGGCGTGTGTGTGCGGAGTGGCAGAAAACCCTGCCACCAAAACCGTTTTCTGTTGCAGCAGGGGGACCATCCATTTGCTGTGTGCGATGGTCCAACGAAGCGGCCACAGCAAATGCGGATATCGAGGCTGATCACCTCGACGTACCTGTGCATCTCGTGTGATTCAAAGTCCTTTTGGCCCGCTGTTTCTTTCGCTGTGTGTGCTTCCTGTTCTTTCGGTTAACGTTTTCGTCACTAGAGGGAAGCAGAGTGTATCGTGAGCCGAAACTCATCATACTCGAGACTTGTCGGTTGTACTCGAGACTCATCAGTTGTACTCGAAAGATTAGCACTCTCCATCTGGAGTTCAAGTGTGTGTGTGTGTGTGTGTGTGTGTGTGTGTGTGTGTGTGTGTGTGTGTGTGTGTGTGTGTGTGTGTGAGTGTGTGTGTGTGTGTGTGTGTGTGTGTGTGTGTGTGTGTGTGTGTGTGTGTGTGTGTGTGTGTGTGTGTGTGTGTGTGTGTGTGTGTGTGTGTGTGTGTGTGTGTGTGTGTGTGTGTGTGTGTGCGTGTGTGTGTGTGTGTGTCTGTGTGTCTGTGTGTCTGTGTGTCTGTGTGTCTGTGTGTCTGTGTGTCTGTGTGTCTGTGTGTCTGTGTGTCTGTGTGTCTGTGTGTCTGTGTGTCTGTGTGTCTGTGTGTCTGTGTGTCTGTGTGTCTGTGTGTCTGTGTGTCTGTGTGTCTGTGTGTCTGTGTGTCTGTGTGTCTGTGTGTCTGTGTGTCTGTGTGTCTGTGTGTCTGTGTGTCTGTGTGTCTGTGTGTCTGTGTGTCTGTGTGTCTGTGTGTCTGTGTGTCTGTGTGTCTGTGTGTCTGTGTGTCTGTGTGTCTGTGTGTCTGTGTGTCTGTGTGTCTGTGTGTCTGTGTGTCTGTGTGTCTGTGTGTCTGTGTGTCTGTGTGTCTGTGTGTCTGTGTGTCTGTGTGTCTGTGTGTCTGTGTGTCTGTGTGTCTGTGTGTCTGTGTGTCTGTGTGTCTGTGTGTCTGTGTGTCTGTGTGTCTGTGTGTCTGTGTGTCTGTGTGTCTGTGTGTCTGTGTGTCTGTGTGTCTGTGTGTCTGTGTGTCTGTGTGTCTGTGTGTCTGTGTGTCTGTTTGTCTGTGTGTTGTGTCTGTGTGTCTGTGTGTCTGTGTGTCTGTGTGTCTGTGTGCCTGTGTGTGTGTCTGTGTGTCTGTGTGTCTGTGTGTCTGTGTGTCTGTGTGTCTGTGTGTCTGTGTGTCTGTGTGTCTGTGTGTCTGTGTGTCTGTGTCTGTGTCTGTGTGTCTGTGTGTCTGTGTGTCTGTGTGTCTGTGTGTCTGTGTGTCTGTGTGTCTGTGTGTCTGTGTGTCTGTGTGTCTGTGTGTCTGTGTGTCTGTGTGTCTGTGTGTCTGTGTGTCTGTGTGTCTGTGTGTCTGTGTTTCTGTGTGTCTGTGTGTCTGTGTGTCTGTGTGTCTGTGTGTCTGTGTGTCTGTGTGTCTGTGTGTCTGTGTGTCTGTGTGTCTGTGTGTCTGTGTGTCTGTGTGTCTGTGTGTCTGTGTGTCTGTGTGTCTGTGTGTCTGTGTGTCTGTGTGTCTGTGTGTCTGTGTGTCTGTGTGTCTGTGTGTCTGTGTGTCTGTGTGTCTGTGTGTCTGTGTGTCTGTGTGTCTGTGTGTCTGTGTGTCTGTGTGTCTGTGTGTCTGTGTGTCTGTGTGTCTGTGTGTCTGTGTGTCTGTGTGTCTGTGTGTCTGTGTGTCTGTGTGTCTGTGTGTCTGTGTGTCTGTGTGTCTGTGTGTCTGTGTGTCTGTGTGTCTGTGTGTCTGTGTGTCTGTGTGTCTGTGTGTCTGTGTGTCTGTGTGTCTGTGTGTCTGTGTGTCTGTGTGTCTGTGTGTCTGTGTGTCTGTGTGTCTGTGTGTCTGTGTGTTCTGTGTGTCTGTGTGTCTGTGTGTCTGTGTGTCTGTGTGTCTGTGTGTCTGTGTGTCTGTGTGTCTGTGTGTCTGTGTGTCTGTGTGTCTGTGTGTCTGTGTGTCTGTGTGTCTGTGTGTCTGTGTGTCTGTGTGTCTGTGTGTCTGTGTGTCTGTGTGTCTGTGTGTCTGTGTGTCTGTGTGTCTGTGTGTCTGTGTGTCTGTGTGTCTGTGTGTCTGTGTGTCTGTGTGTCTGTGTGTCTGTGTGTCTGTGTGTCTGTGTGTCTGTGTGTCTGTGTGTCTGTGTGTCTGTGTGTCTGTGTGTCTGTGTGTCTGTGTGTCTGTGTGTCTGTGTGTCTGTGTGTCTGTGTGTCTGTGTGTCTGTGTGTCTGTGTGTCTGTGTGTCTGTGTGTCTGTGTGTCTGTGTGTCTGTGTGTCTGTGTGTCTGTGTGTCTGTGTGTCTGTGTGTCTGTGTGTCTGTGTGTCTGTGTGTCTGTGTGTCTGTGTGTCTGTGTGTCTGTGTGTCTGTGTGTCTGTGTGTCTGTGTGTCTGTGTGTCTCTGTGTCTCTGTGTCTCTGTGTCTCTGTGTCTCTGTGTCTCTGTGTCTCTGTGTCTCTGTGTCTCTGTGTCTCTGTGTCTCTGTGTCTCTGTGTCTCTGTGTCTCTGTGTCTCTGTGTCTCTGTGTCTCTGTGTCTCTGTGTCTCTGTGTCTCTGTGTCTCTGTGTCTCTGTGTCGTGTCTCTGTGTCTCGTGTCTCTGTGTCTCTGTGTCTCTGTGTCTCTGTGTCTCTGTGTCTCTGTGTCTCTGTGTCTCTGTGTCTCTGTGTCTCTGTGTCTCTGTGTCTCTGTGTCTCTGTGTCTCTGTGTCTCTGTGTCTCTGTGTCTCTGTGTCTCTGTGTCTCTGTGTCTCTGTGTCTCTGTGTCTCTGTGTCTCTGTGTCTCTGTGTCTCTGTGTCTCTGTGTCTCTGTGTCTCTGTGTCTCTGTGTCTCTGTGTCTCTGTGTCTCTGTGTCTCTGTGTCTCTGTGTCTCTGTGTCTCTGTGTCTCTGTGTCTCTGTGTCTCTGTGTCTCTGTGTCTCTGTGTCTCTGTGTCTCTGTGTCTCTGTGTCTCTGTGTCTCTGTGTCTCTGTGTCTCTGTGTCTCTGTGTCTCTGTGTCTCTGTGTCTCTGTGTCTCTGTGTCTCTGTGTCTCTGTGTCTCTGTGTCTCTGTGTCTCTGTGTCTCTGTGTCTCTGTGTCTCTGTGTCTCTGTGTCTCTGTGTCTCTGTGTCTCTGTGTCTCTGTGTCTCTGTGTCTCTGTGTCTCTGTGTCTCTGTGTCTCTGTGTCTCTGTGTCTCTGTGTCTCTGTGTCTCTGTGTCTCTGTGTCTCTGTGTCTCTGTGTCTCTGTGTCTCTGTGTCTCTGTGTCTCTGTGTCTCTGTGTCTCTGTGTCTCTGTCTCTGTGTCTCTGTGTCTCTGTGTCTCTGTGTCTCTGTGTCTCTGTGTCTCTGTGTCTCTGTGTCTCTGTGTCTCTGTGTCTCTGTGTCTCTGTGTCTCTGTGTCTCTGTGTCTCTGTGTCTCTGTGTCTCTGTGTCTCTGTGTCTCTGTGTCTCTGTGTCTCTGTGTCTCTGTGTCTCTGTGTCTCTGTGTCTCTGTGTCTCTGTGTCTCTGTGTCTCTGTGTCTCTGTGTCTGTGTCTCTGTGTCTGTGTCTCTGTGTCTCTGTGTCTCTGTGTCTCTGTGTCTCTGTGTCTCTGTGTCTCTGTGTCTCTGTGTCTCTGTGTCTCTGTGTCTCTGTGTCTCTGTGTCTCTGTGTCTCTGTGTCTCTGTGTCTCTGTGTCTCTGTGTCTCTGTGTCTCTGTGTCTCTGTGTCTCTGTGTCTCTGTGTCTCTGTGTCTCTGTGTCTCTGTGTCTCTGTGTCTCTGTGTGTCTCTGTGTCTCTGTCTCTGTGTCTCTGTGTCTCTGTGTCTCTGTGTCTCTGTGTCTCTGTGTCTCTGTGTCTCTGTGTCTCTGTGTCTCTGTGTCTCTGTGTCTCTGTGTCTCTGTGTCTCTGTGTCTCTGTGTCTCTGTGTCTCTGTGTCTCTGTGTCTCTGTGTCTCTGTGTCTCTGTGTCTCTGTGTCTCTGTGTCTCTGTGTCTCTGTGTCTCTGTGTCTGTGTCTCTGTGTCTCTGTGTCTCTGTGTCTCTGTGTCTCTGTGTCTCTGTGTCTCTGTGTCTCTGTGTCTCTGTGTCTCTGTGTCTCTGTGTCTCTGTGTCTCTGTGTCTCTGTGTCTCTGTGTCTCTGTGTCTCTGTGTCTCTCTGTGTCTCTGTGTCTCTGTGTCTCTGTGTCTCTGTGTCTCTGTGTCTCTGTGTCTCTGTGTCTCTGTGTCTCTGTGTCTCTGTGTCTCTGTGTCTCTGTGTCTCTGTGTCTCTGTGTCTCTGTGTCTCTGTGTCTCTGTGTCTCTGTGTCTCTGTGTCTGTGTGTCTGTGTGTCTGTGTGTCTGTGTGTCTGTGTGTCTGTGTGTCTGTGTGTCTGTGTGTCTGTGTGTCTGTGTGTCTGTGTGTCTGTGTGTCTGTGTGTCTGTGTGTCTGTGTGTCTGTGTGTCTGTGTGTCTGTGTCTGTGTGTCTGTGTCTCTGTGTCTGTGTGTCTGTGTGTCTGTGTGTGTGTCTGTGTGTGTGTCTGTGTGTGTGTGTGTGCCTGGGGGGTAGTTTTTTTGAGGGTTCAAGCGGAAGCCAGAAGGGAAAACACCTTCTTCTTTTTCGGGGGGGGGGGGGTAGTACCCCTATTTCAAGACCAGCTGGGTTTTTAATGAGCCAGTCCCTCGCTCGCTCGCGGTTAGGCGCCAGCCGCAGCAGCTCGGTTAGGATCTCGGAAAGCACGTAGTGCTGAATCTGCGAAGATGAGCTGTTTACAACTTACAACTATACATAGATGCACAGATAGATATAACCCAATAGCATAAAGAGCTGCACCAGTTGAGTAGGGGATTCGGACTTTCTTGATGTGTGTGTGTGTGTTTTTTGTTGCTCTCTGGGGCCAATCCCTTGAAGTGTGGTTCCAGCAGTAAGTACCAATCCCCTTTCCAGCTTTCACCATCCGAGGCCTGCCCACCTCCAGCCAGGATGGCAAAGACGCGTACCCGGCATGAGATTTGGCTGTAGGGATTCGGTTTGAAACTATTTGTGCCATGGTCAAAGCATGTTTGTTGCTTGTGGCAGGATGATCATGGATCTCTTAGGGAGGTTCATTCAAGGCCCCTGAGGGTTTGTGGGGAATGGGGGAATCAGGTCTTAAGAAAGTGTACTTTCCCTCCCTCGCCCAAACGAAAAAACACACACAGCAAGAAGCACATGGCAACCCGCGAACCGGTGGTTTGGCCCTTGTCAATCGGCTTTCGCCAGGTGGAGCTACTCAGTGCGCTGTGTGGGCCCCAGCCTCCCCTCGGCATTTCTGACGAGGCTGGACCTTGTTTAGCATTTGTAAGGACACCAACAGGAAACCACGATTTTGACAACCGACCAGCAGTGCGGTCCTAGCTTTCGGCTCCTCGAGGTTTGATGGCTTGGGTTGTGAAAGAGGTTGAAAGGAAGGAGGCGGCAAAATCACCGGCCATGCGAAAGGCAGACCCAGCCATTGTTTGGCCAAGTAAGTAAGTTGCTGGTAACCTAGGTTGCTGTTGTAGCCCACTTCCAGGTTTGTTGTCATACCTATTATACCATTATACCCCAAGTGGCTAACCACTTTCTGATTTGGCCGAACATCCAAGTAAGCCCTCAACTGGGTTCGGGGGGTGGGGTCCCAGTAGAATCAAAGGGAACACCGGCGAAGCGGTGTGGTCTTTTCAAACTCCCTTATAGGCGAGCCTGCTACACATTACCCGAGATATGGATGTGTGGCAAAACTAGAGGCACCTTTTCAGGACAGCATTTGCTTGGTAGGCCCTCAAGAAGAAATCCAGAAGAAGGGGAAACTGACCGAATTACTTCTGCGCCCATGTGTGCACGAAGCAGCTCGCGAGGTCTGGCTGCACCAGCGCACACGAGGAGGTGGGAGACCAAGAGCTTGGGTTTAGAGCAGCTGAGAACGTCATGTGTGGCAGAGGCTCGGTATGCGGTCGGGTCGATTTTAAAGGGAAACCAAAGACAAACCGCTGATTGATTGATTTTTGGGGGGGGCGGTCCGATATTTTGAGACAAATCCCATGTGTGGCATGGTCAAAACGCGCCTCGTGGGGTTGGTGCAGATGAAGCCCAATGAGCTCCAGAGGTTTTACCATTTGTTCGTGCAGGGTTTTGTCCATGCCCAGCACGGATGGTCATCAACCCCTTGAGGGAGTTAGACATCCATGGTATGGATTCCAGTTCAAGGAACCATGACATGAGATGAGAAAATGATTGGTCGATGTTTAGTTGAACGAGAAAGGGAGGGGGGGAATTTCCAGCACAAAGAGAGGTCGGGTTCAAATTGGGCCTCCTCTTCCGTGACCCCCTGAAACCTTGAAAGGGAATCGGAATGGGGCACTTGGGTCCAGCATCGATGTTTGGAGCCCCTTCCTTTTTACACAAGGACTTGCTAGATCTCGCATGAATTAGGGTAGCTGCATATTCTGACCGTGGTTCATTTCATATTTGTCAGTGACCCGGGGCGGGCCCCTTTGCCCTTTTCAGTTGAGGGAGTTTCCCAGTTTCAAGCCAGCAAATACGGTCCTTTGGTCGGTTGGGAACTGGACAAGCGAGTAATACGTGTTGCCAAATTACATGCGGGCAGTTCAATGGCAATGGCCTTTGCAGCGCATAACATGATATGTGGATATGAATCAATGGGAACACCCTCACAAAATGGTTGATGGGCAAACATCCCATGTAAATGACATCCACCAAAGACTTCCCAATTCAATTTGCTCCCCATATCTCTGAGGCAGAGCTGATGACGCAGCACAGGCCACGGAAGTTTCAGATGTCATGGGCGCATAGCATCGAGATCTCCGATGGGCAAAAGCATGCAACAGTTTGCCTGGTTGCGAGCTGGCCGGGAGCCAAAACGAGCTCGTTGCGATTTCTGTCCTGTACTTGGGATCCCTTTCGGGCTTCGGAATCATTGTAGAGGTTGCAGAAACACAGAGAATCAGATGCAGAGTTGACAAATCGAAAAGTAGAACATGTTGAACTTTCACAAGCTGATCGCGGGGTTGGGTTGAGTGTGAACCCAGCGTGCTTGGAGCTTGCAGGTGTCAACTCAAGTGCAAGCAAGAGGCCCCTTGAATTTTGGCGGTACAGATGCTCCGCTTCAGGCGGCCCTTTTTGGCGATTGTTTGTCAGGTACTGACAGCTTGGTTTGACTTCGAGCGGCTCACCTCCAGAAAATGACCACCCTGCCCAAATGGCAGAGAACTGGTAGGGTCCTTCTCCTTTTCCAGGGACCAAGTTTCTACCCTTGTGAAGGCAACGAGTTCAAGGAAGTCAAAAGGACACCGATGCCATTTCAATTCGCCAGGGCCCCGCGGGTGCCAACTGCCAGCAAGGATCCCAGCGGTTGCACCAGATCTTCTGGACCATACCCCTTGGTTACAATCAAACAAGCATACATGAGGGGTAAATAAGCGTACTACACAGGGTATTTGGGGGAAATCATTCATTCCAATGCGAGGGGGCCAGAATGTGGCTGCGGTGTTTCCGATTTTGGGACTAGTGGTCTTGCGTGCAGCCTTGTTTGTAAGGGGAGTGGTCCATCATTTTGCTGCCCGGGTCAGAATGTTGATGTTCTTTCACAGCGCATTGTTAGTATGATTTTCCGGGTTCGTGTCCCTGGTCCTGTTTGCTAGCGCGTTGCCCCAGTTAGACTGGTCCCAACCCAAGCCCGCTGAAATCTTGGCGGAGTTCACTGGGTTGCTATCCTGGGAATGGACCGATTCCTACAGACTTCCGAACCCTTAAGTCATCTTCCAGCTTCAACCGACGGGGTTCGAGGCTCCAGCGTGGTTCTGATCAAGCAGTGCGAGCCTCAGGAAGCCAAGGCAAGAGGCCAACAAAGGGGTGCCAGGAGCCCCTTTTACGGGTTCACCAAAAGGAGGTTCCTCTAGACAAGATGGCTTGTTGGGTTGGGTTCCATGTGAATCTGCAGTATGTGCCGGAAGATTGGCATCCACCTTGTCATTCCACCCGTTTCCGGCACACTTTGTGGCAGACAATGGCTTTGGGCGGATTGCGCGATTGTCGTGTTGACCTATTGTGTTGCAGTTTGGCCTGGGGGGGGGGAGAGGGCAGACTCCCGACAGGTCTCTTGAGGCTGGCAGGCACCTGCAAAAATTATTCCCCTGTCATTTCCAAATTGGGATTATGGAAAGCTGGCTTGGCCAAATCTCCATTTTGAACAGGAGAACCTTGGAACTTCTCGCACGATGCAAACTGTGTTCAGGAAAAGGCTATGGCATTGCAGAGCGCCGTAGCTGAGCATGCCATTTGACAACGTGCATATCACTTGCCTGCACAGAGCAAACGAAACTGACATGTGGCATGTGCGTCCTGAGTTGAGGCGGCTGCCTTCGATGAAAGGCCAGGACGCGAATTCCGAATTCGGGGCTGTGACATGCCACCTCGGAGAAAGCCAGTGTCAGAGTAGCGCAAGTGACTGGCAAGCTTCCATTTGGGGGTGCTTTTGTAAATGAGGCTCTCAGAAGTGAGTTTCCTTTTGGTTTCCCTTTGAATCCACAAAAAGGGGACGCCCTCGCAACATGACGCACGTGGATACTTTGGTTGGCACTAAAAACTCGAATAGAAGCAAGAAAATTGTTGAGCATTCGAGGCAGCCCGGCAGAATCAAAAAGCACGGCTCCAACTTGGCGAGGCAACTGGAGCGTGCAGAACGGGGATTTGCACCAGATCCAGGCCCGGGCATGTCTGGGAAGGCGCGTTTGGCTTTGGACCCGGAAGCGAACTGGAGGCGCAACGCGGCCCTGATGGAAACCAAAACGAGATGTTGCGAACAATAGTGGTTTGAACATGGTCTGGAGTCACCTCCAGAATTGGTCTATATTTTGGGGTTGGCTAACAAAGAAGCAGAAGCTGAAAGTCATATTTTACATCGCTTGGTGTACTTGGGGTTGGGCCGCAGAACCCACCGCATGTTAGCGAAGCCAACAGCTCGCTCGTCAGCATGTGGCAGCTCCATGCATGACGCATGTTGAGATGACTCGCCTTGACAGCCAGGTGATGTCATGTTTGAATTTGCATGACCTCTTTTCATTGCGAGCGACAGTCAGGGTGCGATCCACGCCTTTTGCCGGCAGAAAGAGAAGGATGCTGAGGGCGAACGGCGGGGCTGATCGGAGCCATCACTGGGGAACCCTGCACAACACATGAGGTACAATGAAAGCCCGGGTGGATGAAGGGCAGTCCGAGTCAGAAATAGGTGCGGCCGCCTCTTGATTCTTTACATGGCTTTGGATATGTCCTTTTTAGTATAAGGTGTTGATTGTGACTTGCGAGTTGGTGTACGCCCTTGTGACTTGACACAATGAACACAGAATCAAGTCCAATCTCAAGCGTTTGTCCCTTGCGCCAGTGTTTGCTTCTCAGGAGAACTTGAAGGGTCGACTGCTTCGCATCATGCGGAACAACTACGAGACGGGTTGCAGCCTCGGGCATGACACCTTGGCTTCCAGATCCCTTCAAAATGTTTGGTTTTAATGCTGGATGGCTGCAATGGATGTTCTGGACTCATGGAATGGCATGAGCCCGTTTGCAGATTGGATCTCTTCTTCAGGATTCTACATGCACAGCCTCTCTATGCCTTCCGCTCGAAGGCAATGCCACGCTGGATGAGGATGAGGAATTGGAGTCAGAGAGTGAGGAGATCTCACAGGAGGTTGCAGAGGCTTGAGCAGTGCTGCGAGCACACAAAGCTTGCTTCCAATAGCCTCAAGTTGGAGGGGGAACGTTCTTCAATGCGGACACAATTCCATTGACAGAGCCTTTCCTGTTCAGTCCAACTTTGTTTAGCAAGAGTGCTTTCTTCCAAACCATTCCCTCTGCCAAAACTTTTTGGGTTAGCATCTTTTGGGCCAGGTCGTGGAGGAGCCCCAGCGCCGGAAGCCTCCCAGGCGACGGGCGAGCCTCCGATGGTTGCGAGGGATTTGATGCTCAAAAGTTTCCTCCGATTTTGTCCATCTTTTGGCGTAGACGAACCATGGATCAGAAGTGTCAGATTTTTAGCCCAAGAAGCCACCCCTCATGACAGTTTTATTGGTCACCGTTGGTTCAAGGAGGGCATGGGGAGTGACTCAAAACATAACCTAATTTGTCCATGTCCTTTTGGGGAGACGAGAGGTTGTGTTAGTGGCTCACGCCGGCTCCCTTTGCGTAGCTTGTTTTTAAGTGTAGTGGACAGGGGTCACTGCAATGTTTGCTTCCAAGAAGGGAAATAGAAGGACCCCTGTCCTTCTGACGGAAAACTCACCATTGCTTGACGCGGTGGACTGATCAGCCCCTTACACCCATAGGATTCCATCTACGGTTCAGTTCCATGGTGCTTTCCCCTCAAGGCAGGGATTGTCAGAGCATACTGCAGGGATGATTCCCACTTAGGGCATTCCCAGAGTTACATGGGTTACGGTTAATTGGGGAGTCTATCGAGCTAATAGGGTCCGCTAAAGGTGATAAATGGATTCTATGTTCCTTCTGTTTGTTTCAGGAGAGTGGCCCCTCCGTCAAACCTCAGCCTATAAGAAATGCTTCCACCAAGAAGCCCAATTGCCATTCATGTCCTTTGAGTGATTGTATGGAGCCTGTTCCTTTTCAAGACTTCACTCGGCGCACTGCAGAGCATGGTTCCACGTTCGATTCCCCGAATTAGAATTAAACTCAGGACCGATTAAAGGGAACCGTTTCCTGGGTTTCAGTCTATTCTGTTGTGGTGCTTGCTCAAACATCGGAACAAATGCTCCACCCAGGTTTGTCAGAACAAGGGGTTTAACTCCCACTGTAGTGATTTGGATTGGGAATCATTCTCGTATAGCGGGAAAAAAAAAGTTTCAGGCGAACAACCCGTCAGTTCACATGGGGCGCCCTGACCCCAAATTCATGGACTTTGGCATGTCACTTGACAAGAGATGCCACAGTCTTGCAGATCCCATCCCTGTAAAGAACAAAGCCTGAATCTGGAGAAAGCATCCAAACAAACCCACACTTACTGGGGTCTCTGAAAATATTTGACATATTTCAATTTTTACTGAATCTGCTCAGAGTCAAAAAAGAATGGCGATACCCTGGGGTTGGGACAAGTCTAAGAAATGCCTTCATTAGGTAGCCCCAATTTGGTGATGTGAACCCCTGGTTCTTGTCGTTGAATGGTAAGCCGCCCCCAAGCGCCAAACCACCAATTCTGGATGTCTTTTGACAAACAACCAAGTGGTGTTTCGTGTTTTTTGGTTTCCCTTTAACACCACAAGTGGTGTTTCCTTGTGGCTTCCCTGTCAACCCCCACACGAAACAGGGTAGCTCCAAAAAGACACTCAGAGGGAAGCTGCCTGCCTTGAGACCGGAGGCTAAACCGGGAGGAGCTCCAGAAGTTGGATCAGCTGCTGCCCGCGCTGCCGCCCAAGGCGGACAGCCAGGACTCGGCTTTTGGTTTCCCTTGCCAGCGCTCAGCGGGTGGTCCAGTCCATCTTGAGAATTCGGAAGTCTCTGGGCTAAAGTGTTAACCGCAGGTGGTCGCTTGTCTTGACTCTTTGTAAGTGTCCACTTGGGCCACCATTTTGGCTCAAGTGGGCACTTCCCTTCTGTCTTGGAATCTGAAACTTCTCATTCCCCTCCTATCAAAGCCATGTACGCCCCCGCCTATGCTGGTGCCGCGGTTGCAGAGGCTAAGGCGAAGGCAAAGGCATCCATGGCGAAGTACCTGGCAAGCCTTGTGAAAAAGGAGGAAGAAGGTTGGACCGTCCTGGCGGCTGAGGTCCCTCAGGCACCGGACGAACGGTTCTTCTCCAGCGCCGACGAGCTGGAGCAAGCCCCACTCATCCCAGCCAAGCGTAAGGCCGAGGATGAGCTGATGGCGGACTCATCCCCTGGGGTGGCGCAGGTGCCGAAGGCCCTGACACGCCCCGCAGGGGCGTTCCTGGAGCTTCTCGACCCTCCGGAGCCGGATGTTCCCATGGAGGAACTCCTGGCGGAAGACGAGAAGGAGCCCCCGATGGAGGAACCCCTGGCGGAAGATGAGGAGGACCCCCCGATGTCCGACACCAAGTGGCAGGGACGCCAGGACCTGATGGAAAAGGCCAGGGCGCAGGCGTCCTCGGAGGGGGATGAGGACCCCGCAGCCCCCCCGCCGGGGGGAAGCGTCTTCACCAAGGCCCTCAAAGTCTCGGAGGGCCTTTACCAATTCAGTGAGGACCAGATGGCGGGCGACTTCCCGTGTTTTGATGCGACCACGGCCACCAGGCTCCGCCGACTGCAGGCCAAGGATGTCCAGCGGCTCCTGAGAGGCTTTGAGGGCCCCCAACTCAAGCAGGGGGGCCTGGAGCGCGTGGTGGAGGCGTTCTACATCGCCAAGATGAAGTATGAGCATGAGGCCCTGCTCAGCACCCCGGGACAGAAGGTTGGCAAGCGCGCTGGCCTGGGGTATGGGGGCCTGGAGAACCGCCCCCTGGGTAAGGAGCCCACATCCTGGATCTGCCCCTGCTGCACCATGCCCTGGGTGAAGAAGGGCGCCAGGAAGTGTATGGGGTGCGGCAAAAAGACGGAGCCCATTGACACGGCGTCCAACTTGGCCACCCTGGAAATGGCGGGCACGCACTGGCAGCTGACAGTGGATGACCAGGGCAATGCGGTCTGGACGGCGGCCCGGTCCGCAGGTGCGAGAACCTGGACCAGGCCAGCTTCTCGGATTTTGTCCCCTGCTCGGTCCGGGCGGTGATCAGGAACTGCCCCATGGAGCTGGACGAGGATTTCCTGACGGCCCCAATGGGGGAAAGGCCCCCGTTGCCGGGCGACAAGGAAGAGGGCCAGGAGTGCAGGGCCTTCCACCCGTCGGCAGTGAAGGCCTTCAAAATCCAGACCCGGCTCAACGCCACCACCATCGCCCAGGAGGAGGCCAAGAAGGAGCGGTGGAGCGATCCGCGGCGGTCCTCCACGAGCTTCAAGGAGGGGCCATCGATGGAGGAGGCGATGGGGGCCAACTCCTCAAGAATTTGGACTTGGACCTCTTCCGCGAGAAACTGCTGGATAAGCTGGGCGCGGACTGGGGGAGGCCCACACCGGAGCTCCTCCAGGCCCAGACCACTGCGGAAGAGGCGAAGGCAAAGCACCAGGCCAGACAAGCGAAGGGCGCCCTCGAGACCAGAATGCTCGAGCCCATCAAGCCTCCATTCAGTGCGTGGCCTAGCGAGGTCCGAGTTGCCATTGAGACAGGGGTCTTTGAGCCGACCACGGCATGGAGGGATTTCAGCATGGACGACCTCACGTCCCTCACGGACTCTTACCTCGAAGCCAAGGCGGTCATCTCGCTGGGTAGGAACCCCTTTCCGGCGGCCCTCCTGGCAGATCTGCCGGATCTGGCGGGGATCCCCATTCCAAAGGCGGGGGGCTCTGGTGCGGCGCGCCCAGGTGCCGAGGGCCCTGACAGGCAGCCCACCATCCCCCCAGCTTCGGGCTCTGGTGCGACGAGCTCAGGTGCCGAGGGCCCTGACAAGCCGTCCGCCACCCCGGGGGGCCTGGATACCCAGGACCCGGAGGTGCAGCTCGCGGTCCTGCGCTGGATGATGAGCAAGCGTGTCGGAGAGGTCCGCATCTTTGCGGGCCGCTGGGTCCGACGACCGGGCCCCGTACACGTCCCGGACTGGGCCAACAACCTCACCAAGGTGAATCCGGAGGCGCTGGAAAAGGGTACGCATCCCAGGAACCACCAGGTGGGTGGACTCCCATGGGCCAGGTACTCCGCTGAGGAGCTGAACCAGCAGGCCAAGGCGGGGGACCGACCATACCCCGAGGACCTGCGATCCATCTTCTGGGCGGCCCCCCACGATCCGGATGAGGACTTCCACTGGGCGCGCCAGATCTCGTCCTGGACACTCCCAGGCTTGCTGGGGATGTTTGGTCACAGCTTCACTCTGCGCCAGCTCTGGGGTCTGGGAGTCCCTGCCACTGCTTCAGGGCCCTAGACAGCGGGGCCCGAAGAACAAGGCCCAGAATCAGATCCGCCTGGAAGGCTGGGAGACCCTGAAGGAAGATGCTCGGTGCTTCCTGAAGGAGGAGGGCCTTCCGCTTCCGCAGACAGGACCGGAGTGGCGCCTGGTCTACCGGGCCATGGGCAAGGTCCTTGCGGCCCGGGCCTTCCTCACGGACACCCCGGCGGAGGTAATGCAGCTCCCGGTCCAGGACGTGGCGGACTCCAAGGAACAGATGATCCTCCGGGCGGTATGTGATGAGCGCATATCTGTCCCGGTGGAGAGTCTCCAGCAGTTCCCAGAGGTGTACCAGGCCCTCATGGACCGCATTGGAGGCCCGGGGGCCCTGGCGGAGGTGAAAGTCAACTGGCGCTGCAACACGAAGCAGTGGTGGGTCGGCGCAGTCCCCGACTCATCTACCGCAAGCTCGGCTACACCAACGACATGATCAAGCTGATGGGCCTGGACCCCTCCGCCCCCGGGTGCCGGACAGGTGCCGATGGCCCTGACATCCGCCCCAGGGGAGGAGAGGGCGATGAGGGGATCGTCTACCCCCCCATCACATCGGACAACGTCCACGGCGTGGTGGGCAAGGATTACAAGAAGAAGAACTTCTCGGCAGAGACGAAGCACGTCTTCTGGGCGCACATGGAGTGCGGCCTGGTTCTGAGCTCAGTCACCCCATGGGAGCTCATCCCCAAGACGAAGGGGGAGACCCGGGGGGGCTATATGTGCAAGTACTGCAAGGGGTACTGGCGCGCCGGGGGAGGGGGCACTCGCCTCCTCCAGATCCGGGCCGGCAAGGCCATCCTTCAGCTGGTGCTGGACGAGCCGCCCGATGGACTGTACAACCGCTGGGTCAAGGAACGGCTGGAGTTCTACCGCCGGGTAGAGCCGTCTGCCCCGCTGCGGGATGTCTCCGTGGTGGACCAGAAAGTCCCACGGTTTAGGTTCAGCCACGTCACCCAGACCGGCCATGTTTCAGATGCCATCTGGGAGCTGATTCTCCGGAACCCGGAGGCGGCGGCGCTCAAGCGCATTGACGACATTGCCAAGGGGGCCGTGTGATCATGCAGCACTGCGGCCATCCGGAACGGACTCGCAGTGCACCCCGGGGGAGGACAGCTGCCGATGGCGCTGATATCCCCCCCGGGCACAGCACAGGCCTTGACCTGTACCAGGCGAGAAAAATGGGCGCGCTTGGGCTGGTCCGGAGTGCGCCTGCACTCCCCCCCTCGTTTGGTTTTTCCCCTTCCGTGGAGGCTCCCTGGGTCCCCCCCCCCCCGTTTTTGGGCTTGGCTTTCCGGGGTTTTGGGGCCCCCCCCTGTTGTTTGGTTGGGGTTGGCGCCTAGGGATTTGGCTCCGGGCTCGAGTGGATCATGATGATGTGGAGGCCCCGCCTCCCTTCCCCGTTTGGAACGACCTTCCTTGGGGTACCAACCGCGGTCCAGTTGATTTTGCATGACCTTGGATTTGCACCAGTGCAGTCGGACGGGGAAATCCTCGTGGCGTGCTGCCTGGAATGGGTCAAAAAGGACCAGGTTGCCAACCCGGATGCGGTGGTCTTCGACCCGCGACCGTGGACACGAATCGTGGGGATGGCACCCGACGGTAACCATGTCCTGGTGGCCTCGGACACCTACAACTTGATCCTCGCAAGGATACTCGGCTCCCAACCACAACCGCTGGAGGAGGCGGATTTGGAGCTCGCTACTAAGACCCTGCAGCAACTTCTGTTTCGTGCGGCAGGCGCCAGACAATCGTACACCTATTCTCCACTGGAAATGGAACAGGCCATCCGGGACCGTGAGGAGTGGATCCTCTCCGGATCGATTGAGGCCCCGGATGTCCTGGCAGTGGCCAACAAGTGGCGGCATTGGAAACCAGGGAAGATCAAAACCCAACTGCCGACATCCCAACGAGCGTTGGAACAGCACTTGAGGGCCAGGTGGCGGGAACGCCTCCTGGGCTACTTCATTCCCTTCCGCCACCAGATCCCCTACATGCACCAGGTGATGGGGGCCAAGGAGCTGGAGGAGTTCGGCCACCTGTTCGGAGATGCCCGTTTCCGGACCATCCGAGCACATTGCTTGGCCTATGAGGGCATGCGCAAGATCGGCTTCCAGAACCTCCCCTGGACGGCCGGGGACGTCCGGCACCTCATGAACCAGGCGGTCACGCTGGAGGTCACCCCGGCGAAGCTCCAGATGGCTCTCCATTAAACTCGGCATGCTCAACGTTGACGAACACAAACAGCTCCTGGCGAAGCGAAAAGCCATCCAAGAGACATTGGTGGACACCCAGGTCAAGCCACAGCGTAAAGCGGTGGTTCCGACCCGGGCGATTGTTTGGGCCCTGGAACAAGGGGCGGAAGGGGGCCCCTCGGAGAACCGGGTCCCGGAATTGACCAAAGCAGTAGACAGGTACATTATGGCGATGGCCAGGTTCAACCT